CATCTTGGGTACTTCCAGGGACCTCCCATGGCCCTTTTGGGTCTGTGTTGGGAGCCCTTTGGGAGCCTCTTGCTTCCATTATGGGCTGTCTTTGGGCTCTCATGGGCGATCGTGGGGCCCGGCTCGGCCGTCTTGAAGCTTTCTTGGGGGCCTTTTGGGGCGTCTGGAGGCGATCTCGGGGGCTTTGAAACCGTCTTGAAAGCTGATGAAATCCGAAAGGCGAATATGCTAAAATTGTAAGTTTTACGAAGGGAATGGGACGATTTTTGTGCTTTGAAGGCCCCTTGGAAAGCTTTTTGGGGTGCCTTGGGGGTCTTTATGTTGGCATTCGGAAACATCGTGGGGGTGTTTTCGGGGCCCTCGTGGGCCGTTTTGGCGCTTTCATGGGCCGTCCTGAGCCTTCTTGGGCCGTCTTGGGGAGCTTGGGCCCGCTGGAGCCCCCTTTGGACCCATCTTGGGCACTTCCGGGGACCTCCCATGGCCCTTTTGGGTCTGTGCTGGGAGCCCTTGGGGGGGCCTCTTGGTTCCATTATGGGCTGTCTTGGGGCTGCTCTCGTGGGCACTCGTGGGGCCCGGCTCGGCCGTCTTGAAGCTTTCTTGGGGGCCTTTAGGGCGTCTGGAGGCGATCTCGGGGGCTTTGAAACCGTCTTGAAAGCTGATGAAATCCGAAAGGCGAATATGCTAAGATTGTAAGCTTTACGAAGGGAATGTGACGATTCTTGTGCTTTGAAGGCCCCTTGGAAAGCTTTTTCGGGTGCCTTGGGGGTCTTTTGGGCCGTCCTGACGCAATTGGAGTCCCTCTTGGAGCGCTCTTGTGCTGCCTGGGGCCTCCCTTGAGCCTTTCTGATGACCCCTCGGATCGCTCTGGGTCTGCTGGCAAGGCGTTTGTGGAGACCCGAGGACGTCCAAGGGAGCCCAAGAACTCCAGATCCCGGGGGTCCAGTTTGGGGGGGGGGATGGTTTTCCCCCCCCGGGCTTGTAAAAATATAGGAAGAGGAATAGTGAGAAAGATAGAGGGAGAGGGGGGGGAGAGAGAGAGAGAGAGAGAGAGAGGCAAAGAGTGGGAGAGAGAACGTGAGAGAAAGAAAGAGGGAGCGAAGGAGGAGAGAGAGAGAGAGAGGCAGAGAGAGAGAGAGATAACAAAACAAAAAGAGAGACGAGGATGAGAAGGAGGAAAGGAAGAACACCATCGTCGTAAGTGAACGCTGGTAAACATGGGTGCCGGGGGGCGGGGGCTGTCCATACAAGTAGCACCCCGCATATGCGGATAAGAGTGAGGGGGCGGGGGGGACGTCGGCAGTCTGCGAGACTCTGGATGTCCCCGCCGCAGGCGCCAAACTTGTACAAGTTATACAACGAGCCCGCCGCAGGCACCGATGTTGTGGTTAAACCAATGTGGGTGGGTCGCACATGGGTCGCGCTGGGTCGCGGATGGGTCGCTGTTGGGTCGCGGGTGGGTCGCGGGTGGATCGGGGGTGGGTCGCGGGGTGGGTCGCGGGCTGGGTGGCGGGGTGGGTGGCGGGGTGGGTCGCGGGGTGGACGACGATAACAAACAAACAAACAAACAAACAAACAACAACAACAACAACGCACCAAGCATAATCATCACCACGGATCCCCACTTCAGCCACGCACCCAGGGACAATGAATGATTGTTCGGCCCTTCACTCTGATGTGTATATATATAATGTATGCCTGTCTGTCTGTATGTATGTATGTATGCATATATGGATGGATGAATGGATGCATGGATGGATGGATGGATGGATGGATGGATGGATGTGTGTATGTATGTGTATACATATATATATATGTGCATGTTTGTATGCATGCATGTATGTCTGGATGTGTATGTGTGTACGTATGCATGTATGTAAGTATGTATGTATGTATGTATGTATGCATGTCTATATGTATGTCTGTATGTCTGATTGTGCTCCCCATCGCGTCTCTCCCCCTGCCCCTCGCGGCCCCCCCGCGCGTCACTGTGTTGACCCCCCCGCGCGCCTCTCCGTTTCTTTCTCCTCCGCCGCGACGCCAAAAAATGTGTGTGTATGTGTGTGTGTGTATGTGTGTATGTGTGTGTGTGCGTGCCGCTCTTTTGCTGAGAGCTCGGGCGTCCCTGGTCGCACGCGCGCGTTCGCTGCTCGACGACCTTCTCCGCCGTGACGCTGCGCGCAGGGCCGCGACGCCAAAACATGTATGTGTGTGTGCGCCGCTCCCAGCCACTGCCCCGTGAGGGGCTGGCATCCCCGCCTGCATGCGTTCTTTCCTACTCAGTGTGTCCCAGACTCTACAGTTGGCTCCCTCCTCTCCTCCGCCGGCAGCTTGGGCCCGCGCGCAGAAGCGAGCCGCGAGGGGCGCCCAACGCGCTGGCGAGTCACAGTGACCGAAAGTGTGTGCGTGTGTGCATGTGTGCGTTCAGGTGTGTTTGTGTGTGTGCTGCCCCGTGAGGGTCCGGCGCCTTCCCCCGTAGCTCGCTTTGCCCGGCGGTAGCCCGTCGGGCGTGATCACTGGACTGCCGCGTGGTTTCGTTGCCCCGCATGCGACGTTCAAAGTGTGTGTTTGTGCGTCAACGTTTCGGGATATCTTAGACGCTTCGCATAATGCCACCAGCCCATCCAGAAGCGATGCCCAGACGAGTTGCCATGATCAGGGGTGTTGAGGAGTACGCAGTGGAACAAAAGTCTGGATAAGACGTCGTACCCCAAGAGGGGGAGGATGGAGGAGGAATCGGAGGAGCAGGAGGAGGAGGAGGGAAAGGGGGAGGGGGACAAGGTAGGTGCGCTCGCGTCATATCTGGCGTCCTACCCCTCCCTCCCATTCTTTACCATGGCGTAGATATCATCTCTATGCGCACAGTCGGATGCCGAGCAGGGCAATGATTGCGAGAGGGCACTCGATGCATGGTTGAGCACGGCATAGCATGGCGTAGAAGAGCACGACAAAGTGTAGCATGTCATAGTATGGCTCGGCATTGCGCAGTGAAGCAACATCACAAAGCATTGCAACGCAAAGCATGGCATCGTACAGCGGCGCAGAATACAACACCGCAAAACATGTCACGGCATGGCGCCCTTTTCCTTGGAGGGTGAGTGGATCGACTTCGAGAGGTTTGGGCTGGTCTTGAGTCGTGGCTCTATGTCTAGCGCCTTGGGCTCCTCGAAAAGCTCCACACAAGGCGGGGCTGATGGAGAGCACCCGCTGGCTCGGCTACCAACGTCGCCTTATCAAAGCAGAAACGGGGCTCCCGCTTGTGCTTCCTGCGAACGACGACGCCCAGCAAAATCAACGAATCGACAACGCTTCTGCGGCCCAAGAACTCAACGAGTCGATACCGAATGTGTAATCTTCAGTAGGGCCGAGGGTCAGAGAGCGCCTTCCTCTGCAGGACCACCAAACAAGGAACGTCAAGGTGGTCAAATACATCGCCAGTCAAGCCGACGAAGATGCGTAACACCCAACCATTCTGGTATGTCCAGAGTTTTGGCTTACCGCCGGGTGTGGTGCATAAATTGCAGCTTGACTGAACAGGTTGGTTGCACCCTTTGACGTCCGTTTGGGGTGCTTTGTAGAATTGACGCCCCAGCCCTACTCAAGTGTAATATCTTCTGATGGTAGCGCTTCAGCGGGAGCAGCATTTTGAAAAACAGCCAAGCGAAAACCCGATTCCCGGGAATCTTGTGTAAAACAAGTGCGCGAAGGCGGGCTGGACATCTTTCGGACGTCATCAGGGGAGAGAGGAGAGTAGCATTTATATTGTGTTATCGTGGAGGGATGAGGAAGAAGAGGGGATAGGCGGATTAGTTTGAGGAGGAGGAGGAGGAGGAGGAGGAAGAGGAGGGCGAGCGGAAAGGCCAGAAGCCTTTCAGATGCCTCTCGGAGTCTCTTCGGATTTCGTCCGAGAGCTTCTTGGAGTTCTTTTGGGGTGCCTTCGCGGAATCTTGGCAGCCTCGGGGGTCTCTTGGGGCGTCTTGGGTGCCTCTGGGGGGCCTTCTGGGGCCTCTCGGGGATCTCTTGGGAGCCTCTTGGGGGCAGCTCTTGGGGCCGTCTTCGGGCACCCTTGGGAGCCTCGGGGGCCATCTTGGAGGAGATCGATCAAAGGAGGGGGGGGTTAATTCGGGCCCCCCCCAGGAGGCCAAACTGTGGCCAACACCTTAGTAATATGAGTGATTTAGTCCTGTTCGCCGAAAGCCTCGGTGGCCAGCTCGGGGACATCTTGGAGGAGATCGGTCAAAGGAGGAGGGTCCTGAATCAGCGCCCCCCCCCCCCCAAACCCCCCAGGATGTCAAAGTGTGGCCCAAACCGTAGTAACATTATCAGTGATCCTGGTCTTCTCGCCGAGGCCTCTTGGAGCGTTCTGGGTATCTCTGGGGGGCCTCTTGGGGCCTCTTGGGGGTCCCTTGGGACCATCTTGGAGGCCTCTTGGGAGCCTCTTGGGGCCTCCTGGTCACCTCTTGGGGCCGTCTTGGGGCACCCTTGAGAGCCTCGGGGGCCATCTTAGAGCCATCTTGGAGGAGTCCTTAACTAGCGCACCCCCCAGGAGTCCAACATGTGGACAAATCTCTTGTAGCATCAGTGAGTCTGGACTTCTCGCCGAGGCCAACAAAAAGACCCTCTGACACCTCGCGAAAGTCCCTGTCCAGACCCATTTGGAGGGAGTAGGGTGAGGGGTAAACCCTCTCCCGAAGGTGAAGGAGGGGGGTTGGCAGGAGAAGCGCTCTAAACCACTCGCGCCCTAAAGGGCTGGCAGGACTACGGCCGGGGCCAGGGTAGTTCCCTCCCCAGATTTCCTGACCCGGCACTTCCCCTGGTGCCCCCCTCGTCCGCGCACCTGCCTCGGGCCCTGACTGCGAGCCCCCCCCCCCCTTCTGCCAGAGAAGAGGCATGGTCCACCTCCACCGCCTATTGGGTCGGTCCCGCCACGACGGGCTCTCGGTGGCGGTGCTCCCGTTCGTCTCCTCTGAGCCTTGGGCGCCCCCGAGCACCCCGGCCCGCAGCCTTCGTGCTCCACAAGACGTGCTTCAGCAGGAGACCGCCGCCGGCCCGGCGAGGGGCCCGCCTCCTCCTCCTCCTCCTCCTTTTCCTGCTCCTGCTCCTGCTCCTGCTCCTGCTCCTGCTCCTGCTCCTGCTCCTCCTTCTCCGTCCTTCTCCTTCTTCTCCGTCCTTCTCCCTCCCCCCCCTTCCCTCCCCCCCTACGTCCTCCTCCTTCCACCTCCCTCCTTCCCTCCCTCCCTCTCCTTCCGTCCTCTCTTCCTGCCTCCCTCCCCTGCCCTCAGGCATCCACGTGCTCTCCCCCTTCACCTCCTCTTCCTCACTCGCTCGCTCCCTTCCTCCCCTTTTACCTCCTCTGGCCTCGCCTGGATATGGGCCGGGGGAGGGAGCCCGCAGACCCGGGCGGCGCAGCACAACACATGGCGGCGGCTTGTTTTTGGACGGATGGACGAGAGTGAGGCATCGAGGAGTAGGAGGAGGATCGAGGATCGAGGGGGACGAGGGGGGAGCAGGAGAAGGAGGAGGAGGAGGAGGAGGAGGAGGACGTGGTTCCGGCGGCGTGGTTTTCTAGAGAGCAGTGGAGCTGTTTTTCGGGTGCGTCCTTGCTTCTTCCTCTCCCGGATCTCTTAGCGTTGTCGAATGGATCACGACGGAGAGGTTTTTTGATTCCACGCCTTACGGAGATCTTGGCCGGGCCCATCTTGGGCCCAGACCACACCCTTGGGCGACAAAAAATGATCTGTATCATGATTCTCGAACCGCACGGAGTTCGTTGTGTGAACTTTGAAATTATCCCACGCATTCACGTTTCCCCGCCCTAAGTTTAGGCGATCGGTCGCTTTTTTTTTCAGTTTGCTTTTTTTGTTTTTTTTCCTTTTTTTTCACTTTTTTTTGTTTTTGTTTGTTTTTTTTTTTTTTTTTTTATTTTTTTGTTTGTTTTATTTTTTTTTTATTTTTTTTTTTTTTTTTTTTTTTTTTTTTTGATTATTTTGTTTTTTTTTGTATTTTTTTTTTTTTTTTTTTGTATTTTTTTTTTCTTATGTTTTTATTTTGTTCTTCTTTTTTTTTTTTTTTTTATTATTCCTTTTTTTGTTTTGCTTTTTTTGTTTTTTTTTTTTTTTTTTTTTTTTTTTTTCTTTGTTTTTTGGTTTGCTCTTTTCATTTTTTTTTGGTGCTTTTTTTTTGGGCTCAGTTTCGGAGACGTAATTGTTGTTGCTTGGCGTCGGGCTTTTTTTTTTTTTTTCATTGTCATATCTTTTTTCTTGGTTTTTGTGTCTTCTTTTATTATTTTGCCTTTTTTTTTTGTTGATTTTTTCATTTCTTTTTCAATTCATTTCCATGCATTCGGTTTTCTTTTTCCTTCTTTAATATATATTTTTTACTTTTTTTTTTTTTTTATCTTTCTTTTCTTTTTTTTTTTTTCCTTTTTTTTTTTCGCCTGTTTTTTTTTTCCTTTTATTTATTGTTTATCATTTGCTGCTTTTTTTAATTTTTTTACTTTTTTTTACTGACTCTTCTCTTGACGGCGGGGACGGCGCGGTTGGACGGCGACGCTCGCGAACGAAAAAGTTTTAGTGAAACAAAGAAGGCAGCCAGGATGAGCAGAGAGATTTCTTAGAACAAGGGGGTGGCCTTGGAGGCCCTTTGGGCCATCCCTGGGGCCCGTGGGTGGGCGAGGGGGGGAGAAGGAGGAGGAGGAGGAGGAGGAGGAGGAGGAGGAGCAGCAGGAGGAGCAGGAGGAGGAGGAGGAGGAGGAGGAGGAGAAGCAGGAGGCAAACCGCCTCTGGGGCGCTCTCGGGACCGTCTCGGGACCCTCTTGGGGGTCCCTTGAGGTCGTCTTGGAGGGCCTCTTGAGGCCGTCTTGGAGGCCATCGATCAAAGGAGGGGGTCCTTTATCTAACTCCCCCCTCCAAGAGCCCTCGGAAGCGTCTCTTGGGGCGCTCTTGGGGGCCGTCTTAGGGGCCTCTTAGGCCTATCTTGTGGCTCTCTTGGGTAATGTTGGTGCAATCTTGAGGCCTCAAGAGCGCATCGGACTCGAAAAGGCGAGCAGGCAAACATCATTGATTTTCATGTTTTTTTTAGAATTTGGCCAAGATCGGCGAGTCCCCCGAGCATTGCCTTGATCATGGTTGGCTGGATGGGGTGCCCGGGAGTATTGGCCATGGGTTGGCTGGAGGATGTGCGGAGGGGGGCAGTGAGGGTGGATGGGGATGGCCAGAGGGTTGACCCTCATAGTCATGTCGATAGGTACGCAGCTCTTCCCATCACATATGGGATGCTTCTCGCTGTTGTTCGTTGCGTCTGCTGGGGCTTCCGCGCCATTATGCCGACGACGTGACGACGTGAATCAATACATCCTCATTCAGGCCTGGGGCCAGCGGTGTGTGGCGAAGACATGAATGTACGAAGATTGTGAAGATGACCAGGTCGGGGCTCGACGGCGCGAAGCCTTGAATACGTGAAGATCTGGTCGATTGGCCGACGACTTGAAGACGTGAAGACGTGACGACGATATCTTCACATCTTCACGTCTTCAGGGTATATTCTCGTCCAACTTCCCCCCTCGCCGCCAGCTCCAGGGGTCGAGGACGAAGGACGAGGCGTTCGCGTCTTCACGTCTTCACGCATCACGAATCCCTCCGCTTTTCCCCCCCCCCGCTCCCTTCCCCTCCTCCTCCTCCTCCTCCTCCTCCTCCTTCTCCTCATCCTGCCGCGCTGCTGCAGCTCCTCCCCCTCCTTCCCGTCACTTCCTCCGAACGAAGCAGACACAGGAGTGTTATATCGTGGACTCCGCTCAAGGCTTCGTCAACGCCGATGCTACCAACCGAACATGTCTAATCCATAAGAGTGGCAACGTGTGATACGTAGCCTGGAAGGGACGTCTGACTTAAACTCTGTACTCTTCCCTCCAGTTGCAGATAGCCTGCCGGGCCAGGACATTTAGCACGTCTGTTGCTTCATTGTTGGACCAGGGAGACGGCTGATGTTTTAACTCTTGGTTCTTTCTGCCAGCTGAGCCTATAGCTTCGAGTCGAATGGCATCTGTTGTTGAAAAGCACATTCTCATACAGGTTAGAAGGACATTGGGGATTGCTGTTTCTCTTTTGGTGGACTGAGAAGAATGGATGCCTGGATTTCCAAGCGCGGTTCCAAGGCTTAGGCGGGGGAAACCTTCTTTCCGGAGACTCTAAGGGGCCGCCAATACAGCCTCGGATGGTCCGATATATGCCCCCGAGACGGCGCCAGGGAGCCCTCAGAATCCACCGCGGACCCCGTAAGGTTTTCAATCAGAGACCTGGAAACCAGGATTTTGCAAGCCAGGACTCTGCCAGATCCAGCTGGAGAAAATTGAGAATGGAGAGCGTTTCGACGCAGAGCTGCAGTTTTATCCAGTGCTCCAATATTCGGGTTTATCAAGCGTGGCCCTGGTCCGAGAGTCTTCCTTGAAGGCCGCCAGGACGCAAACACAAGTAGTTTCCATTGTTTCTGTATGGCCGTCGCGTGTTCCACTGCGCTTGCCAGTGCTTTCACCGTCTCTGCCACCGTCGTCGCCGCCACCGTCGTTGTCGTCGCCGCCGCCGCCGCCGCCCTCGTCGTGGTCGTCGCCGCTGCTGCCACCATCGTCGGCGCCGTGGACGCCGTCGTCGTCGTCGTCGTCGTCGTCGTTGTCGTCGTCTTCATCGTCATCGTCAGCATCGTCGTCGTTGGCGCCGCCGCCGACGTCGTCGTCGTCGTGGTCGTAGTCCGAGGGCGCCAAGATCCGAGAAAACTGGAAGAGGAGGAGGAGGAAGAGGTTTCTCAAAAAGAGGTGTACAGTGACGATGTGAGGAGACATCTTCCGGAGAGGAACGAGGAGAAGAGAGTGAGAGAGAGAATGAGGCAGAGGTGGAGGGATGGAGGAGCGAAAAAACGAGGGAGGGGGGACGGATGGAACAGATGGAGGCGAGGAGAGCAGGATGATGACGGTGAGGAGGAGGAGGAGGAGGAGGAGGAGGAGAAGAATGAGAAGGATATTCCGATCTTTCTCTTCGTGGCGCGTGGGGTGACGTCGAGGATTCCCAAGGTACTATTACAAGTAAGACGGGAGTGATGAGGAGAGGCGGACATGCCAGACATCCCAAGGAATTCAAGACCTGGAGACGTGGCATCTTCACGTCGTCGTCCCATCTTCACGTCTACAGGGAGTCGCACCAGCTAGCGAGTATTCGGACAATGTGATCTCCAGTTCTCTGGGTCTCCTGGTTTTCGGACATTCAAGGCGTTTTTTCGGGGCAGACGTACTCACGTCTTCATGTCTTCCGGCGATCGCGGGCAGCGACAGCAGGGCTGCTATTGCGAAGGCCTTACGGCCGGTGCCGCCGACCCTGGAGGGCGACCCATGCGTTCTCGTATGTGGCGGTGGGGGCCTCTTGGGGCTTCCTGGGGGCCTCTTGGGGGTCTCGTGGTGGCCTCTTGGGGGCATCTTGGGGCTTCCTGGGAGCCTCTGTCGCCGAGGGCTCGTCGGGCCCCCCGTCTGGGCACCCTGTTGGAGCCGTTTGGGGAGCCTCTGGGGCCATCTTGGAGGCAGGCTCGAGCGCGGCTCGGGCGCGGCTCGGGCGCGGCTCGGGCGCGGCTCGGCGGCGGCTCGGGCGGCTCGGGCGCGGCCCCGAAACAAGAAAGAATCCCTACGTGCAGTATTTGCGGGGGGGGCGTCGTATCTGAGTGGCGCCCCCCCCCCGGGACCCCCCCCCGGGACCCCCCGCTACCCCCCCCCCCCCTCCCGGCGGGGGAGGGATCAAAGGGAAGGGGCTTCCCTTCGACTCAAATACGACGTTGCTGAAGTTCATTTGGGCTGGCGCGCTTGAGCAGGGGCCCCTGCTGGGAAAGGGACGGGAGTGGCGACGGGCCCACGGAAAGGGAGGCGCAAGGAAGGGGGACGACAGAGACGACGACCAACGAACAACGGGGATGACGTCTCGAACGGAAAAGCCCCTCACACACGCCGACAGGGTCGGCGGATTTCTTGTGCGCGGAGGCCGTTCCTGCACAACCCGGTGTTGTCAAAGACTTGTTCAGGATCAGAAGCTGGCGGCGAGCGAGGGGGAAAAGGGAAAAGGAGACGGCCTTCTCAGAAGGCGGCGGGACTCCTCAGAAGCCCTCGCTCGGGGAAGGCTTAGAGAGCTTTTCAGCAGACCAGGGGACTTCTGAGCTTTCTGAGAAGGCCCGTCTCTTCTCACTTCCCCCCGGGCGCGCCGCCGACAGAAGGCTAGACTCTAGGAAGGGGCCAGTGGCCCACGCTTTGAACCAGAAACACGACTTCGGAGGTCTGTCTTCGACGCCCTTTGCTAGGTTTCGGCTTCTGGGGGCCTTCGCCAGGCCCCAGGACCGTCAAAACAAGCGACTCGGTCGGGGCTCCAGGGACGGGGGTCCATGCAAACGGGGGTCAGCCAGAGCGCCGGATCCTGCAGGATCCTGCAGAGCCAGGGCTGCACTGACCCGGGATCAGGGCGCAGGATGCTGCAGGATTTTGCTGGATCTTGCAGAGCTTGATTGACCCAGGTCTCGATTAACCCGGGTCAGTAGATCCCCGACTCGGGTTGAAAAGCCGGTTTCGGGGAACGGGTGGAGTCCTCGTGGCGACCACGCTTTGAGCAAATCATGACGTCGGAGGTCTTGGTCTGGAGGTTGGCACTTGTTCGGAGACCGCGTCATGGCCTCTCAGAGGAGGCCGTGACATCCGATCTAGAGGTCGAACAAGTCGGGATTACGGTTTTGGACTCCTCCCTGGATTCTTGGCTCCAGGACCCAGATCCCAGGTTTCAGAATGAGGCATCCGGCTTCGATTCTGGAAGCTTCAGTTTGAATATTGGTTGCTCCCTCGGGCATGCTTGAATTTCCTACAGGCCCCCGAGCGCGATCGGAGTGCGTCGTCCGTGCTGGCACCTTGGTCCGTATCTTCGCCAGATGGCGTCTCGCGTAGGCCGACGGTCGGGCGGCGTCCACTGACCATATCGATGATCCTGGCCGCTCCCATCCTCGGCCCAGGATCGGTGTGTGCGCCTCCCTGGCTGAGACAGGAGGTCGCATACACAGATTCTCTGCCCAGGATGGGTATGGCTATGATCGGCGAGGTGGTCAGAGGACGTCGCCCGAGATGATCAAACAAAACAGCCCCTCCGTGCTCAGGAGGCAGTACAAGCGCGGCGCCGTGTCGCCTTTTGGGTACCTGCTGGCCAAGAACTCGGTGGCTGCGCTGTCGCGCCTCACGGCGCCTGTTCCGCCCTGCAGAGCGCCGACGTTGGCCATCTTCGTGCCCCATTCTGCACCTCCCATTTTGTAGGGCCCAGTTTGCCAAGCCAGATCCGATTCGGTTCCGATTTTTCGATGATATTTGAACGGCGTCGTTGTGCATTTTGGAGTGCCCGTTTCGATTCGATTCCGACTCCGTGCCGATGCTCACGATCCGATGTTCCAATCCGATTTCCCGATTCTATGTTGACCGTTCTTGGGATGAAGATGATGTGGACTGTCCAGTTGCCGGAAGCTTTCCCCGACGTCGAGTCAGCGTGGTAGTTCATCTTCGATACGTGTATGATCTTTCGGAGCTCTCTCGGCAAACCCAGGAATGCTTGGGCCCTATACGGCGAGATGGTACCACATACATGTTCTGAAGATGATCCATCCTGGGACCGTCTGGGAAGCAGCACTACGATGCTGTAGTATGGCTTGGCCCTTGAGCTGCATGGGCGAGACGCTACTTCGTGGGGGCCTCCAGGAGACTGCGTGGGAGTGTCCCTCCTTGGGCCCGAGACTGCCACTGGATGCCGAAACATGGAGAAGGCGTAGGGATTGAACGCGACCATAACGTCGTACCCAGACATCCCTCTTTGTGTGTTTTGCAAAACCTGGCGCCGCAGAGGTCTGGGCCCCTTCCCTGGGACTGGCTTTTCATCCCGAGTACGGTAGTTGTCTGACGGCTCTGGGGACCGGCGAGGGTCCCCTGAGGCTGAAGATTGGCAAAGCTTTCCGTCGTTTTTTTTCTCGCAGTGAGAGGAGGTCAGGGCAGGGCTCTCATCCCTCGTCCCTGGTGCGCCCACGGTCGTCGTGGAGCCCTCGCGAGGCGTGGTTGGGAGGGGCACGCGGCCGCAGGTGCTCGTGCTGCTGCTCATCATGATCCTGTTCCTCGTCCCCTGCCTTCAGATCATGTCAAACGGGCGGGGTGGTCGGGGGTTCTCGTGAATGTTTTGGGGGCCCCAAAACGGTGCGGCTGTGGAATCATATAGCTCCCTCTCGTCCTGACTATCTGTGCTCTCTGCATCTGTGTCTGTTGTTTGCTTGCATGTGCACAGCCGCGCCGTGACTGACGCTTTGGCTCAAGCTGTTCTGTGCGCAGTGAGTGCAAAAGCATCCCATTCAGTATATCTTGCGATGGCCGCCTGAACCCGTCGTGCCCACAGTGGTAGGCGGAGCGTGGTTCACCGAACGACTTCCGGTGGCGAAGCCCAGGGCGGGCGCGCAGCTGGAGGACGGTTCACAGATCTGCGGCAGGGCGAGGGCGACCAACGAGGGTGCAAGTACTGAAGACGGGTGATGAGTCACTCGAGCGCAGCCGCCTCAGCAGGCGGCAAGGAAGGGCGTACAGATGCAGACATCGACAAGATCGCGGGCAGGGTGGCCCAGATGATACGACTGGGCACAGGGACATCTCCGGCCTCGGCGCCACCTGAGAGCGCGCCCAACCTCCAGGGGCTCGCCGGTCAAGATCAGAGCGCGGCTCCATCTCACGAGGCGGGCTGGAGCGTGGTAGACGACCCCTGGACGGAACAGGATCCGTGGCGAGAAGAATGGAGAGCGAAGGATGCGCGGGCAGAAGAGGACAAGCACACACCACCATCCATGAGGGCATCAGACACTTGGAAGGAGTGGAGAGACGGATCCGAGCAACGACAGTCCTGGGATCAGGACGACGGATGGAAGAGCAGACCCGGGCGACAACAGGCCTGGGATCAAGACAACTCGTGGCAGAGTTGGAGCAGTCAAGGCAGCTCGTGGCAGCACGACCGCGGCTGGTGGCAGGGCCAGTGGACCCAACCCAGGCCAGCACCATCCTGGCCAGGCTGGGAGAGATTCAGGCTGTGGAAGCAGTACGTGAAGCGTTGGAAGGACAGCCTGCACCTGAGCGAGGTACAGGCAGCAGACAGGCTGCTGGAGATTTTACCCTGGGAGATCAGGACGACTCTCGAGGACATCCCAGACAGCGAGCTGACGGTAGAGATCATACTGAGGAGGATGGGCTTCAAGTCCGGCGAGCGCGAGGACGACGACCTCTACCGGACGGGCAGTGAGGCCATGCAGGACACGGAGAGGAAGAAGGACGAGGACCTGCACGCCTTCGCGGAGCGACGCCGACGTCAATTCGACAAGGCGAAGAGCATCGGGATGGAGATCCCGCAGAAGATCCAAGGCATGCTGCTGATGCAAGGAGCTCGTCTCAACGAGCAGGGCAGGCAGAACCTCAAGAGCCTGACGAAGGGCTCGATGCTGGGCGAGGACATCCTCTGGGCACTGCCCAAGCTGGACACCGGAGGGAAGATCTGGAGCGACGGCAAGCAGTCATCGCTTCTGAGCATGGGGTCGGAGGAGGCGCCGCCACCTTCCGAGCCCCATCGGGCAGAGTCCGGGCCCGTCGAGGAGCCGATCTACGAGTGGTCGTACTGGGCCGACGAGCTCGACTCCGAGGACGAGGCCATGGTGCTCGTCGAGCTCTCAGAGAAGAGCCTCGCGGAGCCAGAGGTGGTCGAGACTTTGGCGCAGATCGGAAAGACCAAGAAGACGTGGAAGGAGAACCAGCAGCTGAAGACGGCGCTCAAGCGGGATCGAGGCTTCTGGAAGAAGAAGCGCCGACTCACCCCGTCACAGCTGAAGCTGATCACGAAGTGCGGCAACTGTGGAGAAGTAGGGCACTGGCACAAAGAGTGCAAGAATCCTCACCGTCCCAGAGAGCGAGATGGCAAAGGCAAACCTCGGTCTGGAGGGGCCGAGATCGAGGCTTTCACGTTCGCGGCGATCGGCGCGAGCGACGACCAGGACTTCAACCTCGACGGCATCACGGTCCTGGGCAGGGAGGTGCTGGCGACCCTCAGGGAGATCATCAGCTCGGAGACCACGGAGCTCTCGCTGCTGATTCTCGAGGGCGGCCTGATCATCGTGGACAGCGGCGCCTCCCAGGCGATCATAGGTCGCCGGGCTTTGAAGGAGCTCGAGGGAGATCTGCAGCGACGAGGCCTGCGGATCAACTGGATCGAGAAGAGCGTCCAGACACCTCGGGGCATCGGCGGATCGGCCACGCTGGTCGGAGTCGCCGTGGTGCCTATCTCCATCGGCGGCAAAAGCGGGACCGTCGAGTTCGCGGTGACCGAGGAGGACCTGCCTCCACTTTTGCCAGGCGGGTTTCTCGAGCAGTTCGGCGCGGTGCTGGACTACGAGAAGGATCTTCTTCTTCTGAAGAAGTTGGACTGTGAGACTGAGCTCCGCCGGATCGGGAAGAACCACCGGGGGATCTACATCAACGACTGGCGCGGGACAGAGAGCAGCTTCTCTCCCAGCTCGCGCGCCTTGCCAGCCGGCCTTGGCTCGGACGCCTTCCGAGCCCCGACTGAAAAAAAAACGTACTCTCTTGGAAGGATCCCTCTAGGCCTCAGAAGGAGAGAAACGGTACCACAGGAGCCCCAGCACCTCAGAGAGATCCCGGGAGCCTGCATACCGACTCCAGCAGTTCGAAACCTTCGATGCCCTCCTCCAACCACGACTCCCACTACAACTTCAACCCCGTAGCTGTTTCGGCTCAAACTTCGAGCCAGGCGCAACTACCGAGCTCACCGCGAGATCCGCCTCAAGTCGATGCGGAGCCGCCCAGACTCGGACATCTCAGAGAGGGTCAAGATCCAGTGGATCAGGCTGCTGCATGCCGGACTGATGTGGATACAGACCTTCATGGACAAATTCTTCGCTCTGAACAAGCGCGGGAGACTCTTCCCGGGAAGGGAGCTTCGTCGGAGGATGATGGAGGACCCCAGGCTGGTGAACGACCTCTACGAGTACCGGGTTCCGATGTCGGCACCCTTGGCAGACGGGACGGTGCCTTGGACGCTATGTGCGCATCGCCCCGGGTGGTTCGTGACCTCCTACAACCAGCGCGGGAACTGGGAGCAGTGCAGCAAGTGCAAGGTGAGGACGTCCTATCGAGAGATCGGGTACCGCGGGGACGGCCACCGACAGATGACGGCATCGGAGATGAGGAGGCTCAGGCAGCAGCTACCGCGCGACGTCAGGCCACTGAGCTCGGCAGGCTCGGCGACGCAGGAGGGCGCAGCCCCGGCTCCGAGTCGACGCGTGGCGTCGGCGCCGAACGACGAGAACACCTGGTCGAGCTTCAGCCAGGAGCCTCCACCACCGTGGGCATCGGAGATGGTGCGAGGTCTATCGGCAGCAGTGGCCGAGGCAATGACGGCATCCACGGGGCCGATGGCAGCAGCGCTACGCGAGCAATCTGTGACGCTCTCGCACATGGTGGCCACGATGCAGCAGATGGCACCAGAACCCCCAGCAGCAAGCGGGAGTGCGGACTCCAGCACGCTGGCATCACCAACCGGACCGCCACCGACGACCACCGGGGCATCACCAAACCTCGGGTTCACCATGGTGGAGGAGGCCCCGGCGGACACCGACATGAGGGGCAGCTGAGAGAAAGCGGCGTGCTGCGACTACTTGGCGACAAGTCTCGACAGGAGTGCTGGCTTCGAATACCTACATCTCGCAGTTTACACAGAGAGGCCAGCGTTGCTCTAGAGCAGGCCAGAGCGAGCGGCCAGTGCTACCGGGTCGATCAGGAGGTTTTGGAGAAAAACGAAGGCACTCTCTCTTCTTCCTCATCCTGTCACAACCCTTCCTCTATCTCTGCCTGGCAGTGTGAGTCCGACGACGGGCGATACCGACTCCGGGTCAGCATCTCCACCTCTACCTCCCAGGGCAGCTCCAACCTTATCGAGGACGGGTCTACGGGTGCGGGGTCCTACTACGTTGTCCCACTCCAGAGCTACCTGTCTACCACGACGCTACGCGGCTCCGAGCTACTTCACGACTCCGACGACACGCTAGCTAACCTAGCGGGCCTGGACAACTACACTCACCAGTTCAGAGTTGATCAGAGAAGTAGGCGTCGTCTTCGTCAGGGTCTCCGAGGTCTTGGAAGAGTATCGGGCTCCAACTCATGGGGATACGAGTTCGTGGAAGTTTTCTCACCTCCTCGCACGGCAAAGGTCTCCTCTCAGCTGGGCTCCAGAGGCTCTCCGACCGGCGGCAGCTTAGACCTAACTACGGGCTGGGACTTCCGACGTGCGGATCACAGGGAACTAGGAAAGCAGTTGATCAAGAAATGGCGTCCGTGGTTGGTATTTCTCAGTCCTCCATGCACCGAATTCGCCACCATCAACGCAGTCAACGACGAGCGGCGAGACCCGGTCGTGATGGCCCGAGCACGTGAGGGAGCATTGGACTTGTGGGCGTATTCAATGGAGATAATCGAGCTTCAGATCTCGGGCGGTCGCAAGTTCGCCCTGGAACAACCTGCTACCGCGACTTCTTGGGCCCTTCCCAGTACTCAGAGGCTTCTGGAGCTCCCGGGCGTGTCCAGGATCACGTTTGACATGTGCAGGTTTGGGCTTTCCGCTAGGCCTGGCACGATTTCCAAGAAACCAACCACTGTGGCTTCCAACGACTGTGAAGTTTACAAGGCTCTCTTGGGAAAACGGTGTGCCGGGGACCACCGACATCTGGTGCTGGAGGGAGGCGGTCTACCACGACGTGCGGCATGCTATCCTTCTAAGTTCTGCAGGGCCATAGCACACGCGGTTCACCGATCCGCAGAGCTTCAGCAGCTGAGAACCGACGAGAGCTTTCCAAGCGGGGTGCCAGCGTCTCGTCGACAGGAAAGACCGACTCAGTCTCAGGTGGACGGCCCCGAGCAAGACAACTCCGAGGACGAAGAGGAGGAGGATGAGCAGCAGCAGCAGCAGGACTGCCCGTTGACTCAGGAGCAGATTCGACAGGTGGAGAAGGCACACATCAATCTTGGCCATCCCACCAAGAGAGACCTGCTTCGTATTCTCAGGTGTGCGCACGCTCGGCCAGAGATCTTGCGCTACGTTCAACATCACTTCGTGTGCCAGTCTTGCGAGAGTGCCGGCAAGTCTATCCCTCAGCGAAAGGCAGCAGTTGCCCGGACATTCTCATTCAACAAGCTGATTGGAGTAGACCTTTTCTTTGTGACGTATCAGCGCAGGGAGCACACGTTTCTGAATGCAGTATGCCTGGGGACTTCGCTACAGTGGGTGGGGCTTGTGGGACCCGGGAGATGTTCGCAGCCAGCAGCAGTGTGGAAAGCTTTCTCTCGGGGATGGATCCGACATTACGGACCTCCAAAGGTCCTCGTATCAGACGGTGGGAAGGAATTCGAGGCCGAGTTCAGCAGACACTTGGAACAACAAGGGGTGTTCCAGCACACCACCGACGCAGACAGTCCTTGGCAGAACGGGAAGACAGAGCGGGCGGGTCAATGGTTGAAGGAGCGGCTCCAGCGGTTCGTAGACGATACCATCCTGGAGGGCCCCGACGACTTAGAGCTGGCGGCCTGCGAATTGGCTGCCTGGCGGAATCGTTTCCTGAATCGAGGCGGGTATTCACCACTACAACTAGTATTCGGGCAAAACCCCAGGGTACCACAGGAGTTGCTCAGCGAGGACCCGCTAGACCACATAGGACTTCACGACCTTGAGGAACCGAGTGCCGATCTTGACAGTGCGGCGGCGGCTTTCCGACACCAACACGAGACCCGGTCTCGTGCCCGACAGCTTGCGATGGAAGGAGATGCGCGTAGGAAGTTGCAGCATGCGTTGGGATCGGCGTGGCACAGGGACAGGACCTACCGACCGGGGGATTGGGTGTACATCTGGAGGCGAGCGCCCAAGACAGGGCGCAAACCATACGGTTTGCAACGGGATCGGTGGGTCGGGCCAGGTGCAGTGATATTCCATCATGGAACAACAGTGTGGGTGTGTGTGCGTAGTCGCTTGTGGAAATGCAGTTGTGAACAGATACGACCTGCTACGCAGTCAGAGTCTCTTGGGGCCGAGCTCATCCAGACCACGTGCTATCGGGACGTCTTGGACGAGCAGCTTGCCAAGGGGATCTCGGGAGGGGCTCTAGACGTTGCTCAAGAGGGACCACCACCACCAGAGGCCACCATGGCTCCCATCAGCTCCGAGGGCAACGCGTCTCCAGTGACTGTCGCACCAGCAGGCTCCAACGAGGCTCCAGGCCACCAGGGGGACCCTCAGGACTCCAACATGGGCACCAACAACATCGAGGCTCCAAGGGTTCCCACTCCAGCTCCCGACTCCAGCACCCACCCTACTCCAGCTCCGACTCCAGCAATCACAGATACTGTGGCTCAAGTAGCTGCTGGGCCTCCTGCTCCCCCACCAGGACTGGGACCTCCGACCCAGGCCGCCGGCGCGAGACCAAGACCTCGACTCGTCTGGGCTCCCGGTCCAGTGACTCGTCTGATACCTGTGCCAGAGCACGAGGAGTCAGCTCCCGCACCAGCGGATCCTGCTGGAGCTCTCGGACGGGGCAGTGCTGGCTCAGCCGCAGCCGGACCTCAGAGGGAGCCAGCCGCCGAGCCGACACCTCCAGTGTCCCAGACTGGTTCGACACCTGCCGGATCGGAGACAGGCTCCCAGGCGGTGGCCACCGCTGGCGGCTCGCGGGCATCGTCGAGACGTCCTTCACTGTCTGAGGACGACCCGGAGCTCAAGCGAGCCAGGCTGGATCCTGACACCCTCCGGTCCGCGACCGGAGGGGCACCTACCGACGAGCAGCTCAGGGGTTCTGGCCTTCCGACACCTATGGAGCTCCTGCCAAGGGCTGAAGGTCGGGTTCGCACTCAGATCCAGGAGTTCGAGAACTGGCGGTCTCAGCAGGGCAGCGCTGCAGCCTCCTCTCAGGCCGAGCCCCAGGGGGCGGGATCGGAGACCCCGATGGACGAGACCGGCTTCAGTGCTCTCGAGGGCTACTGCGAGGTGCTGGATTCCTGGTTCGAGGACTCCGGCTGGAGCGGGGACATCGAGACCTACATGAACGGCCGGAAGGATCTGATCTTCGAGCACTCAGAGGACAGCGCCGGGCAGTGGTCTCTGCTCTCCTCACGCGGCGGGGAGGTCAAGCTCAAGGATCTCTCGGCCCAGCAGCTCGAGGAGTTCCGACGATCGGACGAGGCCGAGTGGGGCGTACTCAACAAGCCGAGTGTGTTGCGGATCCTCAGGAGGAGTCCACTCGTGTGCTTCGCACCCGACCAGAGCGGGTGCTATCGTCCAGAATGGTACGCCGATGGAAGGCACAAGAGGGCACGTTCAGTGCCCCAAAGGCAAAGAGCAGATGGTGCGTGCACGGATTTGCAGATCCTGACACTGAGAATCTAGTGACATATTCTCCGACACCTCAGTCTGAGGCCATGATGCTCTTCGGACTCGTGCTCTTAGGCCATGGCATGGACCAGAGCATCGTGGACTGCAAGAACGCCTTCAGTCAGTCGAGACGACTCCGCAGGGCTGGTGGACCCATCTACGTGGCTCCCTGCGAGGGGCTCACTGGCATTCATGTTCCCGACGGGTGCCTGATTGAGCTACACGTCGCCGTCTATGGTCTAGACGACGCCCCTTGGGAATGGCACGCCACGATCACCTCCTACCTTCGCGACCTCGGCTTCAAGAAGCTGCTGATGGAACCCTGCTACTGGACACTCCGGGAGCAGGGCGCCCAGAAGGGTCAGGTCCTGATAGAGGTGGACGATCTCTGGCTGGGAACAGTTGCCTCTCACACGAAGTGGTTGGCCGACTCTCTGAAGGCCAGGTTCACTTTCGGCAAGTGGCGAGGTGACGAGGCAGAGTTTGCAGGACGCCGCATCAGAAAGGAGGCTCACCGCATTCGCCTGGACCAGGAGAAGTACATATTGGAGGAGATTCATCCGATTGTCTTGGAGAAGGGCCGCCGCTCCAAGAGACACGAGTCTCTGAGCCGCTCCGAGTTCGAGCAGCTCCGATCCGGCATCTACCGGATCAACTGGGCGGCGAAGGAGACCCGTCCTGAAGTGGCGGGCACGGCCTCCATACTCGCCAGCAAGCTGGAGCAGGCGGTAGTGGAGGGCATCGTAGTTTTCAACAGGGGCCGTCCAGATGCTGCGCGACACCGCCTCGCAGTACCTGACCATCTGGCGCCGCGACCTGTCGCAGGTGGTGAGCTTCACCTTGAGCGACGCGGCGGGGATCGGCACGGACTCGCCCATGCAATGTGCTTGGGCTGTAGGAGTGGCTGACCCTCAGCTGGCCGCCGGACTGACCAGCAAGGTGACGATACTTTCATGGAGATCCTCCAAGATGCGTCGAGCCGCCAACTCATCCTTGGCCGGTGAGGCCAACTCCCTCTGCCAGTCCCTTGGAGAATCCGACCGGATTTAGCTGCTGCTTCGTGACGCTTGCTTCGGGGACGTTCCGACCGCCGACTGGCGACAGCACGCCGGCCCCTACGTGTCTGTGCTACGTGACAACTGCGAGCTGCATCAGCCCTTGCCTGGAGTTCATGCTACGGACGCTAAGTCTATCTTCGACTGTCTCTCCAAGAACTGCGCTGGCCGGAAGGAGGACCGCAGGACTTCTGTGGACCTCGCAATCGCTCGGGATTCATTCACCCAGCGAGGCTCGTGCGTGAAGTGGTTTCCTCACCTGCTCAATCCTACTGACGTGATGACCAAGGCTGATGTGTCCAAGGGGTCCGACGCCATGGGCCACATGATTCGCCGTGGGACTCTAACATTGAGTGATGCCGAGTCGGAGAGGGCCCACCTCCTTGCTGGTGGTGAGAAGGGCCGGCGCAGTCGTGAGGCCAGCCGTCGCTATCTTCAGGACCGCGAACGGCGGCTCGAGGAGTCAGGCCGACAGTAAGTGGGGGGAGCTGTGGAATCATATAGCTCCCTCTCGTCCTGACTATCTGTGCTCTCTGCATCTGTGTCTGTTGTTTGCTTGCATGTGCACAGCCGCGCCGTGACTGACGCTTTGGCTCAAGCTGTTCTGTGCGCAGTGAGTGCAAAAGCATCCCATTCAGTATATCTTGCGATGGCCGCCTGAACCCGTCGTGCCCACAGCGGTGACTACACCGCGTGGTGAGTCACTGGAGATTCGGGGTCACCGCACGGTTTTGGGACTCGGGTCGTTCTCCGAGGTCGTCTTGGGCGACAGGGGCCTCCAGGGTCCAAAACCGTGCGTGACGGACCGTGCAGTGAGGTCTCTGCGGATTCCGAGGTCGCCGCACGGTCTGTCACCTCGCGATTCGGGGACCTCCGATTGTTACGGTGTTCATTGTATCGCATATATTGGTTTCATGTTTTGGAAGGTGTGGGGCTACCTCTTCAGACGCATGCCTCCTTGGGTCTATGGCAGAACACTGCCCAGTTCGTGTGCCGCGCATACCCGTCACCGCGCCTGCGAGAGCGGCCGAGCGAGGCTGCAGTGCGGCAAAGCATGAGCGGAAGTGCGCGACGCACCGACTGCATTACATTGTTTGAACCACCCACATAGCACCACACATATTGCTCCACGCCACGTAGATTGCGGCCACTTCGGAACGCGCCGTTGAATGTGAGCAAGGAAGAGGCGTCAACACGAAACAAAACCTGTGTCGGTGAATGTGAACAGGGAACGGGCACGAACATGAAAAGAAGCCTTCGTCGACGTTGCTTGTTGCGTGTGTCGATGCTCTCACGGGGCTTCTCGAGAGCCTCTTCGGGAAATGGTTTCCTGTGGTTTCCTGGGTGGGGGGGGGCTTCTGCGCCGTCTTGGAGATGGTTGGGCCTGTTGGGTCGTCGCTGACGCTGTTTAGAAGAGCAAGGCGTGAATGCGAAAAGACGCGCAACGACCATCTGCTTTTGACCGGTTTGCGTCTCGGGAGTCGTCGACCGGGGGACAGACGCGCCGCCATAGGAAAACGGGGAACAGGGAAGGGGGCGGGTAGGCACCCGGGAACGGTATGAGAAAGTTCGGTATGAAGAAACGTTGTATATGAGGGCCCCACGAGTTGGACACCAGGGTGAAGTGAACGAAAGTTAGAACTTGGAGGAACGTAAACATGGAGAGGAAGAGGCAAAACAAAAAGCCACAAGAGCACATCGGGACGAAGTCGCTCGAACGCTTGTATATGAGGGCGACACATAGTTCAAGGAAACCTTACTGGGGGGTGCAATTCATTCTCTATCCGTTGCCGTTTCGGTTCGCGTGTTCAAGGCAGGCGCGTCCTATCTGCCAGTACACATCGTGTACACTATTCGCGGGAGTATGCGACCATGTGCTCCCATTCCTCTTTCCCATCACCATCCGCTCCTACGATATATCATTTACCCCTTAAATGATGCATGACCGACGTGACGTCTAAGTTCGACTTGGTAGCGGAGCTGGCCTACTCAGGCTGGCTCCCGCCCTCTTGCCCCTGCTCTGCACCACCCAGTACGCCATAGCTGCGCCGACTTCCCGAGAGCTTCCCCGAGGGAACATCCATGTATTGTTTGCAGCCGATCGAAGCCAACCAGAGAGAGTCGGAAACGAGCAACCTCATTTGTTTGCGGCGCGATGTATGAGGTCGCTCGGAACCGAATTTGCACCAACAGTGGGCAAGCCATTGAATACAACTACAAGTTACGTCAACAAGAAAACGGGCCCCACGACTTACACGATTAGAAGGAGGCTACCTGGAATCTGGCCACTCCCAGCAGAACATGGTAACAGAACTCCGAAGATAATTTTACCGTTAACGACGGTGCGCAATGTCAATACCACTCCACATTGTTTTGTACACTTGGGAGTTATACTTGTTGCATCCTGTCGCTTGCACTTAGAGCCGCTATCAGCTATATGCAAAGGGGAAATGACAACACAAGCACGCGAGGACCGTGCTGGCTCCCGCAAGTAATGGCATCTTTTCGGGACTGGGCGTTGGGGGTTAGCGCCCGGCTCAACGTAACGAGCGGGCGCATGACCCCACAACGAATTGCTGGTGCGCTTCAGCGAGGCCTGGGCGGCATATCGCGCCAGGTTGCGATGTGAACCCCGAAAAACGCTATCAACTGCGGAATCGAGATAGACCGGAGCCAGACGCGCGTCCTGAGTACAACATTTGAATCACCCGAAAACGAATTGCAGTTCACTGCTGGGTTCCAGCTGACAGGTGCCCGTGTTGATCCAGGAGAGCGAATTGGTGAGACGCGAGCCATGTTCAAGCTCGCGCGACTCGGGGCCCAACATGTAGGCTTCGGTATCACAAACATCCAACTATCAGGTTTAAATTATCTCGGGCTCTAGGTGTTGCTTCACAAGGCCACCACCGTGTTGCAGCCAATCAGTGGCCAGACATTTCGCACCCAACAGCAGCACGATGACCTAAAAGAGCGGATACGCTCGGGTCACATCGTCGAACGAGCTCCAGGTAACATCCGAGGAGATGGACGAGACATCGTGCACGTCGACAGTTTTATGACAACGACGAACACCATCTTGTAGCAGGAGACGGCTGTTTTTAAGTTGCTTGGGGATTTGCGGGCGGAAGATTTGCGCCGTTCTCCAGAGTGAATGGCAATTCTTCAAGGTTTCCTCAACCTTCAGTCGCCTTTTTGGGGAGACACGAGGGTTAGATTGGCAAGGGCGGCCAGAGCTTCTGGGCGACAGATCTCTGGGGAACTCTCCAAACTGAGTTTGGCCGTTTTCAAATCTCAAGGAAATCTGTGGCTCAAAGGAACTCCGGGGAAATCGCTGGAATCTTTCCGGGCTCTAGAAATCTCCGATGGTATCTCACAAATCTTTGCCGCGCCGGAATCTTTGGAAAATCTCCGGAACATGTCCGAGAAGTAAAAAGAAGACATAGACGTGTTTACATGCATATATGTATGTATAGTTATATGTGAGTTAAAACAATACGCCCGTACATAAGCACACACATGTATTGATATACATATATATACACATATGTATAACCATGTATGGCGTACAAGTACATTGCGTATGGATGTTAATCTAGACATGCGTACATACGCACATGTGCATATACATAGGTGGACGTCTATATATATATATATATTGAGAGAGAGAGAGCGATGGTATGCTGTACCAAGTTGTGTATGGATATGTTCATGCGATACAGTGACATAGTGTAGTCGGTTGTGCGATTTGCACTATATCACAACAGCAGTGGCATGTGTACTCATACGTTGTATGCGTGCATGCAACGCATTCATTCACAGCAGCATTTGCGTAACTAACTATACGTGCCGCCGTGCGGATACATCTGCACATACGGGTGCACCCGCACAGATGCCGCAAACTCTCGACGTTCGAAGACGTCAGGCGACGCCCCCACGAGCGCTCCAACACGGCCCCAAACCGGCCCGAGACAACCCAATTTGGCCCGAGAGGCGATGCGCGAGTGCGTGCGCTCCTGTTTTCCCAACTGAACCCGGCTATTATTTCATATGTTGTTCAACTTCTTCCTCTTTCTCCTCCTCCTCCTCCTCCTCCTCCTCCTCCTCCCCCGATTCCTGAACAGTTAGGGGCGGAACGAATGAGGCGGGGGGACTGTGGGAGATTGGAAGGGGTGAAGAGGATCAGACAGGGAGGGAGGCAAAGAAAATGTCAGAGAGGGAGGAGGCGAGGCATGAATTCGATGACGATGGAGGGAGTGGAGGGGGAGCGAGACTTCCGGCGACTGGGAAACATCGCGCTCGATATGTTTCCCATGGTTCTGAATACGGGGGGGCCTTGTTCTTCGGTCCACGGTCAGACGAGAACAACGCAGAATGAGAGGCCGGTCCTGGGGAACCGAGGAGAATCCATGGGGGACCGCAGCACGCATAATAAGAGCTCCGGGTGCGAGGGGAGGCAGGGGCCACGCCCAGAGGCAAATTTTGGGGGGCGCGAGGCAACTGTGGCGATTCCGCACGCGCGCCGATCCTGCGCGGGCCAAGCCACGCAGTGCAAGGGGCCCAGAAGCCGAGGCGCAGAGTATATTCATAACGTCTAACCTCCCGGGGCCAACAGTTTAACCATCTCTGTTCTGCGCCTCGGGTGTCTGGGGAGAAGGATATTGGCCTGCCGGGGTCTTCTTAGGAAGGACTTTGGGGCCCTTTCAACGCGGATCGAAGGCTTCTTGGGCCATCTTGGAGCCACCTGGGGCGACTTGGACCGGTCGGCGTAGCGAGTCGGAGCGCCCTTGGACTGGCTGGGCGGGCACTTCTCCTCCAAGAAACCCTGCGCCAGCATTCGGGGGGTCCGGGGGAGCCGCGCCAAGTCCCAGGATGTTTGGGAGATCT